AATTCAAGTCAGTTTTATTTATTGTTTATATACTGTATTCTGTGTTACAGATTGTTATAAATTCTGTTTATATAATTGTTTTAATTAGTCATTGATAATTGTTTTTCCAACATCCCATACACCCACCCATATATATATATATATATGGTTTTGGTGGTTTGATTGGGTGATGATGGTGGTTGAGCTGGTATGTGGTGGTTCTTCTTCTTGTCTCTATTTTTCTTTTCTTTTCTTCTTCCTCTGTATTTTTTTTTCTTAGTTTGCAGATTTGTGTTATTTTGGGTCGGAGAAGATTGGTGTTGTTCTTGTCGGTGGGTTTATCGGTTGTTAGAAGCAGAGAAGAATTTTGGCTTTTGGTCTGATAGGGAGAGACGATTGAGCGAGAGATTGAGCAGAAGCAGTGTGTTTTGAGCGTTTGTTTTATGGTAGAACAAAAACATCTTTTTTCTGTTTTGTAGAAGTAAACGTGAAGTGAAGTTGGTCTCATTTTATGAAAACATTTTCAATGTTTTCTGTTTTTGCCCACCGAACACATTTCTGCTTTGTTTTTGTTTTTTGAAAATGAAAAGGGTCTCTAAAACGTAAACGAACGGGTTGAATGAAGAAAAAAGAGGGTCCCAGCCTGTAAGACTTGAAAAATCTCAAGAGTTGTGTGACCTGCTGAAATGTCATCCACGTTTATGACCTGCTGAAAGTCGCTTAGTATTTGTTATCTGACTGAGGTTAAACATTTTCTACGGGTGGGGCTGGCCTCTGCTTTAGAAAGAATCCAACTATGTTTCTTCCTTTAGCACTGAATTGCATGACATTGAGAAAGTTAGCCATGAATTCTACTACTAAATGGTTTGCCATGAATATTATATTGCTCAACTTCCTTCCAATCCTTCCCTCTTCCACTTCCATTGCCATTGGCTCTATAAAGCCAAACCAACCCATGAGAGATGGCGATGTTCTTCTCTCTAGTACTAAAATCTTTACACTCGGGTTTTTCAGCCCGGCCAATTCTCATAACCGGTATGTTGGAGTTTGGTACAACAAAGGTTGTGAATTTATTTCTTTAGGTTGTAAATTTATATATGCTTGAGAAGTTCAGGTTATGAATTTATATTTTTTGGTTAAAGTATGCTTGAACTCAAAAAGCTTCAAAAGAAGCATAAAACATAGGCTTAAAAGTGTGGAAGATTGAATTTTTATGACACAAAAAGACCACACTTCAAGATCTAATATTGTCTAATTTAGGCCCAAAATATTGAAATTGGTTTAAACCGTTAATTCACGGTAACCGACCGATTTTTGAGGTTTCAAAAATCACCTTACCGCAAATAGTCGGTCGGTTTGCGGTTCGGGGAAAAATTCGCGATTACCTAACCGCAACCGCCCTTAGTATCGACTAAGTTTTATATTTTTATATTATTATATTATATACTTATATAATTTATACAAATCTTAAGCCACAGTACTTATTTATTTAGTTAACTTCCAATACATATATAAACATTCTTATATTATAAGTATATACTAGCCCCTTGGCACATGCTCACGCATGTGCCAATTGGTTTTCTTTTTTATTTTTATTTTACTTTTAGAATTAAGAAAAGATAACATGGGTAGTTATGTTCTATAAAAATAGGATCTATTATCTGATTTTGTTTTTAATTCTATTTTATTTTAATATGAAAAAAAATGTGAATTTACCATATTATCCTCATTTAATTAATAATTTCAATTTTTAATGTTTATATTAACCAATGACATTTTCTAGTATTTTGAATGTTTCACCATTTTCTGTCTTTTGCTTTATATATATAGATTATATAGATTATATATTCATTATCTTGCCTTAGTATTTTTTTTTCTTCAGCAAAATAGTTATATATTGATTATTTCTTCCATAATGTGGAGGATTGGGGAACCATTCTCCAACGAATGTTGGGATGAGGAATCCCCGATATAAATATTGTGGATATGAAGGCGGAGATGAGGATGAGAATGGCATACCCACCCTCGATTTGACTCATTGCCATCCTTACCCACCCCCATCATTGTTCCTAAATTTGACCAGCCCAACCAATGCTATATATTTTACATCAACGTTTACAAATTATATTTTTTGGTGGGCCAAAGATGGATTGATCTCATTCTACAATGCACTTTTTTTTTATGTCAATCTAATTTTACAGTGCTACTTACCCCATTGTTAATTATTTAGTTAAGTGTCACCACTAAATCATTGACGTGTATCCCTTATCTCAAGTGATTTCAAACTTAAAAAAGGAAGACTAGAAAAGGGTAAGGGAAACTCATACACAGGATATATAGGGCTTGAACCAAGGATCACTTGAGAGCATACCAAATTAGGTTAGAATTTTATAGGAGAAATTGACAATTCCTTTATTTAGCAACTTAAGCACGAAATTTATTAAATAACATGTGGAAAAACTCGTGGAAATTAGGGGCATCAAATTCTCGAATTTAATTTCCACAAAAATAGGTATCATTTCACAATTTCCATAATGCAATTTATAAAATTATGTCATTTACAAAATTGGACATACATAAATCCAAACACTGAATTCTTCAATTGCCAGAAAATGAAATGATGGAAATATAAATTCCGCCATTTAAGAATTCTATGTAATTTTCAATTCATTCGTAGAGTATAACATTAACATCAACAATATTGTAAAGCTGATATGGTGGACTTCTTTGTCCGGTAATAATACTGTATTCTGTCAATTCCGTTAAAAGATTTAAGAATCATTGGAGTGTGAGATTGTCTAAGAAACTTCGAAGTTTGAACATAAGGGATTGCCGAGGTACTCTCGCCGTCAGATATTTTTATTGAATGAAGAAAAAAGAGGGTCCCAGCCCAGTAAGAACCTTAACCTGTAAGACTTGAAAATTCTCAAAAGTTGCGTGACCTGCTGAAATGTCATCCATGTCTATGACTTCCTCGCATATCAACATCTGAACCTGAAAGTCGCTTAGTATTTGTCATCTGACTGAGATAGGTGAAACATTTTTTACGAGTGGGGCTGGCCTCTACTTGAGAAAAAATCCAACTATGTTTCTTCCTTTAGCACTTAATTGCAGGACTCATTGAGAAAGTTAGCCATGAATTCTACTGCTAAATGGTTTGCCATGAATTCTACTACTAAATGGTTTGCCATGAATATGATATTGCTCAACTTCTTTCCAATCCTCCCCTCTTCCACTTCCATTGTCATAGGCTCTATAAATCCAAATCAACCCATGAGAGATGGCGATGTTCTTCTCTCTAGTACTAAAATCTTTGCACTTGGGTTTTTCAGCCCGGCCAATTCTCGTAACCGGTATATTGGAGTTTGGTACAACAAAGTTCCAAACCAAACCATTGTCTGGGTTGCAAACAGAGACAACCCCATAATTCCTGTCACTGATAATAATGCCTCTGGAGTTGGACTTCTAGCTGTTCATGGAAATGGAGGCCTGGTCATCTATGGGAAGGACCAAAATACCCCTCTTTGGTCTGCTAATGTTTCAGTCTCTTCGCCAAACAATTCCATGACGGCCAAGCTTTTGGATACAGGAAATCTTGTTTTGCTTGAGGAGGACGATGGTTTTAGCCAAAGGGTATTGTGGCAAGGCTTTGATCATCCCACAAATACAATGCTTCCATTTATGAAACTTGGGCTGGACCGGCGGTCCAAGTTGAATCGGTTCCTCACATCATGGAAATCTCAAGATGATCCGGGTATCGGTAACTATTCGTATGGTATAGACCCAAGTGGGTTTCCGCAGGCCTTTTTATACAAGGGTCAAGCTCCGCGCTGGCGGGCTGGGTCTTGGACCGGAGAGAGATGGAGCGGTGTGCCCAAAATGACAAACTTCATATTCAACGCTAGTTTTGTGAACAATCAAGATGAGTTATCAATTATGTACATGAGTGAATCAATCCTCTCGAGGATGGTGCTTGATGAATCAGGAGCCGTTGTAAGGTCCATATGGCATGATCAAGGGCAGCAATGGATCAAGTATTGGTCTGCCCCAAAAGAGGAGTGTGATGAATATGGGAAGTGCGGTGCCAATAGCAATTGTGATCCATCCAATATGACTAAGTTCGAGTGCACGTGCCTACCCGGATACGAACCCAAGTTGCCACGTGATTGGTATTTGAGAGATGGGTCAGGTGGGTGCGTGAGGAAAAGCGGAGTATCCATATGTGGAAACGGGGATGGGTTCGTGAAGGTTGCAAGTGTGACGGTACCCGACTCGTCTAAGGCACGTGTGAACATGAATTTGAGCTGGAAAGCATGCCAGCAGGAGTGCTTGAGAAATTGTTCTTGCAAGGCATACGCAAACGCAGACGAGAGATGGGGAGGGTTTGGATGTGTGACATGGCATGGGGACTTGATGGACACTAGAACCTTTTCGAATGCTGGCCAGGATTTCTATGTACGAGTTGATGCAATTGTGTTAGGTAGTTGGTTCATCTCTTTTTCCTTAAAAATCAAGATCATTTTTCACTCGATTAGACTTCATTGGCATAGTTCGTTTATCCCTTTGTTCTTCTATTTTTATCTCATTATAATGCACTATGAATATAGTATGTAGTTAGTCCTTTTATTGAAAAAATTTCCACCATCTTACTAATCTAAAATTTTGCTGGATTTTATTTGTGTGTTTTCACCCTTGAAGCTCAATATGCAAAGTCAAATGGTTCACTTAGCAAGAAGGGAAAACTGGCAATTTCTCTAGTTTCTGTTCTGGTGTTCCTTCTTATTGTAGTTCCCATTTCTTATTGGTTGGTAAGGAGGAAAAGAAAAGGTGAATATCTGATGCAAATTTATTTTCTTTTCACTATTCATTTGTCGCCTAATTGTTCTGCACTGATATCACCCACATCAAGAAATTCTCCTTTCAAGAGATGAATCACACTTTAGTCTGATCATAGAAATACAAGTTGTGCTTGCTAATGAAACAAAGGCTAGATAGATTACCTGTTCTGCATTTGATGGCAGGTAAGCAAAGACCAAATAAGCATTCCTCTAGAGTTACCACAAGGTCAACCTACTTTGAAGATTCTACTGCAGAACTTGATGAAAGTAGTATGCACTCAGACATACCATTCTTTGATCTACCAACCATAGCAGCGGCCACGGACAATTTCTCACTTGAAAACAAGCTTGGAAAGGGGGGTTTTGGCTCAGTCTATAAGGTAGTTGCCTTCGAATAATTTCTCAAATCAGAAATCAGATTTTTGTGAATATGCCTCGGTTTTTAGTTTTGCATGCACAAGAGCACTTTCAAGGGCACGAGAATGCAAATTTCATACAAAAACGTGGATTATATTTTCAGGGTGTGCTTTGTAATGGAAAAGAAGTGGCAGTGAAAAGATTATCAAAACATTCTGGTCAAGGAATTGAGGAATTTAAGAATGAAATTGTGCTGATTGCAAAACTCCAACATAGGAACCTTGTCAGGATTTTAGGTTATTGCGTTCAAGATGAAGAGAAGATGCTAATCTATGAATACGTGCCAAACAAAAGCTTGGACTCTTTCATCTTCAGTATGTCTTCCTTTTGCTTTATTTTGTCACTTGAAAACTAATAAGGAAGCAAGAATTTAATCTATTTTCTTACTTTTAACATCCAGATGACACAAAAAGAGCACTTCTAGATTGGACAGTACGCTTCGGGATCATCTATGGAATTGCTAGAGGGATCTTGTATCTTCATCAAGATTCAAGGTTAAGGATTATCCATAGAGATCTAAAGGCCAGTAATGTTCTACTGGATGCTTCTATGAACCCCAAAATTTCAGATTTTGGTATGGCTAGAATATTTAGAGGAGACCAAAGTGAAGCGAATACAAGTCGTGTGGTTGGAACGTAGTAAGTTAGAATTTTCTCCAAATGTATAAGATATCACAATAGTTTCTAGATTCATGTTGAGGCCCAAAAAAAGGGGAAGAAAAAGCCCCCTACAATTCACAAGACCAATTGATGGAATACTTGATAATGCATGTCACAAGAGCATACAATTCATAGGCTAATTTCAACATATTCTGTGGATCAATGAATCTATGCTTTCGTAATCACTTTTCTTTCTACTGCAGTGGTTATATGTCACCAGAGTATGCAATAGAAGGACATTTTTCAGTGAAATCTGATGTATATAGTTTTGGAGTTATACTCCTAGAAATCGTTACTGGCAGAAAAAATTCTGGTTATTACCATGACAAGTATCCTGGCGCAAATTTGGTTGGACATGTAAGTTTACTAGCTTTGTGGAAAACGATGTAGTTTTTCCCCTACTTATTCATGCTAACTTTGATGATCTAAAATCGTTTTTAGGTTTGGAACTTGTGGAGAGAAGGTAAAGTCTTGGAAATCGTCGATCCATCTCTGGGTGAATTGTACCCTGTCAATGAAGTTGTGAGATGCATCCAAATTGCACTCTTGTGTGTGCAAGAGTATGCCACTGACCGGCCAACCATGTCAGCAGTTGTTTTCATGTTAGGGAATTATGATGCAGCAGTTCCTTCACCAAGACAGCCTGCATTTTTGTTACAGAGAACTTATGCTGCTAGAGACCCATCAACCAATACAGAAGGAGCTAAGTCTATGAATGATGTTACATGTACTAGTGTACAAGCTCGCTAAAAGGCCTAGGCCACAAAATATTGGATGTTAAGATACTGCAACTATATAGCAGCCTGCGTCAAAATTATTCATTTGTGGCTATTTTTCCACTTTACTTTGAATGGGATGCCAAACCCACCCTTGAATTAGATTTTAGTAGCTTTGGTGAGGACGTATTAGCAGAACAAGGATGTAGCTCAGATGGTAGAGCGCTTGCTTAGCATGCGAAAGGTACAGGGATTGATACCCCGCATCTCCATATTTTTAATCGTTGTTTTTACATATATAAAAGAAGCTACTAGTTCATCTTCATCATAATAATGAGGATTAACTACACTTTAGTTCCTAGAGGTTTAGTGTCAGTATCGAAATGGGCTCCAAAGTTTCATTTAAATCAATTTCTTACCCAACATTTCGAAGAATTACCAATTTACACCAACCATTACATTGACCGTCAAAGTCAAACGTTAAATGCTGACGTGGCAGGCGTGAGGCCCACCTCATAACCAAACAACAGTTAAAAAGAGACGAGACGAAGGGCAATTTCGGAAAAAGAAAAAAAAACCAACGTTTGCTGGAGAAATTATAGAATAGTACGGTATTACCACGTCAGCATATGATACTCCCATTCAAAATTTGCTATGTGTCCCATTTAAAATAAAATTAAAAATACTTGTACAGCTGGACTTTGACCTCCAATTTTACCCTTTAAAATAACATTAGAAATAAAATAAAATAAAAGAATACTCCAATCAATCTCCGCAGTAACCCTACCCTGCCTCCTCCACCGTCTCTTTCCCTTATCTCCGCCAACTGAAGTCTTCTTCTTTTTGTTTTTTTTTCTCGACAATGTCATTGAATCCATCTTCCTTTTATACAGTCTACCCTCCATTTCTCTCTCCCTCTCCCTCATCAGCTACCACTTTATTTTATAGTTAGTTTTAAATTCACTTCCCAAAAGAACTTCTTAGGGTTTTTACTTCAGTTTGCTTTTCTGTAGAGTTTTTCCCTCATGGTAATCCTCAGAGTGTGATGGTTAGAATACAAAGTAATAAGAAATTGGAACATGAGGTTTTGAGGCGAGGAAGACGAGTCCATGGAGAAACTGAAGGATTGGGAGAAGATGAAGGAAGTTGAGAAACGATGCACATACAAAGAGTTGGGTGCCTTGGTGGGGATCTTGGACTTGTAAAGAGCTCGGCCGATGGAGAAATTTATGTTGTTTGTAGAGATGGAATTGCATGTAGTATAATTAGCTGGAGGAGAGGTTTGAGATGTGGGTTCGTTTCCTTCATTGTAGAAAAGCAAAGGAAGCTGAAAAGGAAAAGGGAGAAATAAACGGAGATTGGGGGTGGAGGAGGACTCCCAGTTGAAGGATTTTTTTTTGGGAGATTCACTAATATACCCAATATAGGAGCCCAAATTATAAAAAAACCCTATATGAAATGGAATTTATAAACACACCCAAAGCTCATTTATAACATAACAAAAAGGCTTTTAACTTCTTTTAAATTACAAAATTGCCATTGATTTCTTAAAACAAACCCAACCCAAAATTTCATAAAAAAGCCCAAAACACTCAATAGGGTATCAAAGTAATTTAATAATTAAAATTAAATTTAATAGTACCATTTGTCATTTTTTTGGGTTTTTTTGGGTATGTTTATAAAAATGAAATGATGTAGGGTTTATTTATAGTTTTAGTGCTAAGAATGGGTATATTACTAAATATCTCTTTTTTATTTTCTTCATTTTTAATTTAATTCCAAAGGGTAAAATTGGAAGTCAAACTCCAGTTGTATAAATAGTTTTAATTTTCTTTTAAATATGACACATGACAAATTTTGAATGGGAGTATCATATGCTGACGTGGTAATACCGTACTATTCTATAATTTCTCCGTTTGCTGGATTTTATTTGTCTTTATTTTTTTACCCTTGAAGCTCAATATGCAAAGTCAAATGGGTCACTTAGCAAGAAGGGAAAACTGGCAATTTCTCTAGTTTCTGTTCTGGTGTTCCTTCTTATTGTAGTTCCCATTTCTTATTGGTTGGTAAGGAGGAAAAGAAAAGGTGAATATCTGATACAAATTTATTTTCTTTTCACTATTCATTTGTCGCCTAATTGTTCTGCACTGATATCACCCACAACAATGAATTCTCCTTTCAAGAGATGAATCAAAACTTTAGTCTGATCATAGAAATACAAGTTGTGCTGCTAATGAAACAAAGGCTAGATAGATTACCTGTTCTGCATTTGGTGGCAGGTAAGCAAAGACAAAATAAGTATTCCCCTAGAGTTACCACAAGGTCAACCTACTTTGAAGATTCTACTGCAGAACTTGATGAAAGTAGTATGCACTCAGACATACCATTCTTTGATCTAACAACCATAGCGGCGGCCACGGACAATTTCTCTCTTGCAAACAAGCTTGGAAAGGGGGGTTTTGGCTCAGTCTATAAGGTAGTTATCTTTGAATTATTTCTCAAATCAGAAATCAGATTTTTGTGAATATGCACAAGAGCACTTTCAAGGGCACGAGAAGGCAAATTTCATACAAAAATGTGGATTATATTTTCAGGGTGTGCTTTGTAATGGAAAAGAAGTGGCAGTGAAAAGATTATCAAAACATTCTGGGCAAGGAATTGACGAATTTAAGAATGAAATTGTGCTGATTGCAAAACTCCAACACAGGAACCTTGTCATGATTTTAGGTTATTGCGTTCAAGATGAAGAGAAGATGCTAATCTATGAATACGTGCCAAACAAAAGCTTGGACTCTTTCATCTTCAGTATGTCTTCCTTTTGCTTTCATATCTAATTTTGTCACTTGAAAACTAATGAGGAAGCAAGAATTTAGTCTATTTTCTTACTTTTAACATCCAGATGACACAAAAAAAGCACTTCTAGATTGGACAATACGCTTCAGGATCATCTATGGGATTGCTAAAGGGATCTTGTATCTTCATCAAGATTCAAGGTTAAGGATTATCCATAGAGATCTAAAGGCCAGTAATGTTCTACTGGATGCTTCTATGAACCCCAAAATTTCAGATTTTGGTATGGCTAGAATTTTTAGAGGAGACAAAAGTGAAGCGAATACAAATCGTGTGGTTGGAACATAGTAAGTTAAATTTTTCTCCAAATGTATAAGATATCACAATAGTTTATTTCTAGATTCACAAGACCACCAACTGATGAAATACTTGATAATGCATGTCGCGAGAGCATACAATTCATAGGCTAATTTCAACATATTCTGTGGATCAGTGAACCAATGCTTTCGTAATCACTTTTCTTTCTGCTGCAGTGGTTATATGTCACCAGAGTACGCAATGGAAGGACATTTTTCAGTGAAATCTGATGTATATAGTTTTGGAGTTATACTCCTAGAAATCGTTACTGGCAGAAAAAATTCTGGTTATTACCACGACAAGTATCCCGGCACAAATTTGGTTGGACATGTAAGTTTACTGGCTATGTGGAAAACAATGTAGTTTTTCCCCTACTTATTCATGCTAACTTTGATCATCTAAAATCGTTTTTAGGTTTGGAGCTTGTGGAGAGAAGGTACAGTCTTGTAAATCGTCAATCCATCTCTGGGTGAATTGTACCCTGTCAATGAAGTTGTGAGATGCATCCAAATTGCACTCTTGTGTGTGCAAGAGTATGCCACTGACCGGCCAACCATGTCAGCAGTTGTTTTCATGTTAGGGAATTATGATGCAGCAGTTCCTTCACCCAAACAGCCTGCATTTTTGTTACAGAGAACTTATGATGCTGGAGACCCATCAACCAGTACAGAAGGAGCTAAGTCTATGAATGATGTTACATGTACTAGTGTACAAGCTCGCTAAAAGGCCTAGGCCACAAAATGTTGGATGGTAAGCGACTGCAACTATAGCAGCCTGCGTCAAAATTATTCGCTTGAGGCTTTTTGGTTGCTGCATTCACACCGAACAGAATATGTTCGCTTAGCGAACAAAAGCTTGGACTTTTTCATAATTGGCATACCTTTCAATTCACAAGTAGCCATTACCTTAATTTGATAAACTATGCTTAATTTCCCAACTCTGCATAATCTCCTGTTTTTTTTAATAAATAAAATGCGTATGTATGTAAATTTGGGGCCCTCCCAATTTGAAGGGCCTAGGCGGCTGTCTTGCCCGCATGTGGCCAAGGCCTCCCCCAATTAAATAGAAGTAAGTCAATCACAATATGAACCTTGATGTGCTGCATTACATTTGGACTGATTTTTCTTTGTTGGATTGATGATGCAGATGAATCGCCAAGGCCTAAACCCGAGATGACACAAAAGTAGCCAGAGGAGTGTCTGTTACAGAAGGAATTAATCCCGATGGCAACCGCGTTGTTACTGAAAAAGTTGGTGGACAGGTACAAAATTTTATATATATAGAAGATGAAGATTTATAATTATGTGTTCCTATGTATGTTGGTCTAGCTCAATTTGTCACATCAATTTATTCAAATTTTGTATGTCTAGGTTGTGGCCTAATATGTGGAACCGCCTTTGCCGATGGGCTCGCCAGGAGGAGTGCTGGACCGTGATGCAATTACAATTGGTGAAGCTCTCGAGGCCACTGCTCTGTCAGCAGGCGACAAACCCATTGACAGAAGCGACGCCGCTGTAATACAAGCCGCCGAGATGAAAGCCACTGGGAGAACCGAAATAGCGCCCGGGGGTGTTGCCGCCATGGCTGAGTACGCAGCTTCTGTTAACCCGAGGGACGTCAACAAGACAAAACTAGGCGATGTGCTAGAGGTACGTAATTTAAAAGATTAATTAATCATTATGTTTATGGGGATTTGTTAATTTAATTGTTTCGTGAAAATAATGAAGGATGCGACTCAGAAGCTGCCAGCGGACAAAGTTGTGACGAGGGAGGATGCAAAGGCGGTGATAGGGGCAGAGATGAGGAACAGTCCGACTATGAGCACCACTGGTGGAGGTGTGGCTGAATCGCTGGCTGCAGCCGCGAGGCTTAACCAGAACACTGGAAAGTAAACCTACAAGTCTAGATCTATATAATGTATACGTATAGATATATATGTACGCACGCATGCATGGTTAATTTTTGGGTTGTAACAATCTCAAGGAGTTTTTACTTTTTGTTAGTGCTACAAGTTGCTACAATAATGTAGACTTATATTTTGCGTTTAAAGGAGTCGTGTAGTCAATCACGTAACTCAAGTGTTTGGTTTAAAGTATAAACATGTTTCCATATATAGTTTGGGTTCGCAAATGTTGTCGCTATAATCCCACATTACAATTTCTTTGTAGGTCACGAGATAATAGTCATTAGATCAATTGAAAAATTATTATTAGGCGTTTAGATTGAACTACTCAACACACCTCTTTAATAGAGACTCAATTGTAGAAACTCCTTGACAATTAAAGTAAGTGAAGTGTATTCGGTTTGATTCACGTAAGAAACAATCTTAAAACAACTTAAATATAATATTCCCCCATCCCCTTAAAAAAAAGAAAAAAGGTGTAGATGCACTTCAGTGAAAGCACAAAATCCTATACAAAGGGAACATAAGTTTTACAAGATTTCTTCAAAATCAGAGTTAACATGTCTAAATTATGTATCTTAGTGCCAGAAGACTGATCCGTACAGTTGGGTTTGTGGCAGGGATCAATCAAGATATGAATCTTTTAAAATAGAGTAACCAAATAATTAATTTAGGAGAATCATAAGTACTTCTGATTTTGGGGATGTTTCTTGCTATCTGATTCATAGATATGGCTTGGTTGGCTGCCAGTTTATATATGTCTACTTTTTCCAGCAAAAGAACCAATGAAATTAACGGCTGGGAGGATCTAAGATCTCATATGCTGAAGATTGAAGAACCTCTCATCTGACTCTGAGTTGCTCGTACAAATGACTTGGGCCCCTGGCTAGGACCTGATTTAGCACTTTAACCACGTTGATGAGTAAGCTCCCAAGGAATATCTGCACATTTGAAACAATATCATAGTAAGGGCGGATTGGGGTTAATCCCGGTTAAGCTCCCTTCGATGGTTAAGTCATAAACTAACTTGAGATTGAGAGAAAATGAATATAGGGTTTCCACAGTGAGAGTATTTATTAAATTTGTCTAAAGATAGGTGAAGGGTATTTATAGGGGAGAGAAGGAGAGGTAGAAAATATCTCATGCATTGAATGCTCCTTTTCCAATCACCATGCCTTCTGATAGGGAATAGGTGGCGAAGTGATAAACGACATGGGATGGGAGGTGCATTAATTGATCCCTTTCCATTGTTAGATTACCGGTCAGATCAATGAAGCGATTGACTTCTAACAAGAGGTCTGCCACGTCTATACATAATTAGATATTTATTGAATGAAGAAAAAAGAGGAACCCAATAAGGACCGGCTTAACCTGTAAGGCCATCTCCAGTCATATGGCTAAATGTAGTCCAGGGCTAAAAATTTAGCCCTCCAAAATATTAATTTTTTAAAGAATAGTGTAGGGCTAAATTTTTCCATCTCCAATCATGCAGGGCTATATTTTAGGGTTCTTCATATTTTATTATTTTGAAAAAAAACTATGGTACAACACATACATTCCACAACTATGTATTGATTAATTTAATTAAACTACTATTTAGAGACAATATTTCATGATCAAGAATTTTTATAATTTTTTTAAACAACACTTAAAACATTTGAGAAGGTGACTACATTTTTTTTTATTTTTAAATGGATGGGTTTCAATGGTTTGACATCCAATGGTCATGACCAATAATTTTTTTACAAATTGAAAACATTTAAAAAGGCTTTTAAATATATATATATATCCATCTGACATCATCAATGAAAAGCACATGCATAGAGCTGACAAAAAATTTGGCCTAGGACTTCCTCGCATATGACTTCCTCTGAAATGTCATATTTCCAAGTAAATTGAAAACACGTTGATACCCATTGCTTGAGGAAAAGACAACTCAAGGAGTACCTTTTCTGAGTATTGTCAGATGATGAAACACAAGAGAGAAGAGAAGAAGGCGGGAAACATGGAGAGGAATGGAATTAGATGAATTAAGAGTCTCATGATCTGTTCTTCTATGTACCTGACTTGTGTTTCACTGCTTCGCTTCCCAGCCTCAAGCTCAAATTTGCAGCTAATTTTTTCAATTTCGGGTTTCAAACTTTCAGTCAATTGGCTAGGCGGGCGCTAGGCGGCAAGCGGTCTATGACTTCCTCGCATATTAACATCTGAAGCGACATGTCATCCACATCTATGACTTCCTCGCATATCAACATCTGAACCTGAAAGTCGCTTAGTATTTGTTATCTGACTGAGATAGGTGAAACATTTTCTACGAGTGGGGCTGGCCTCTGTTTTAAAAAGAATCCAACTATGTTTCTTCCTTTAGCACTTACTTGCACGACCCATTGAGAAAGTTAGCCATGAATTCTACTAAATGGTTTGCAATGAATATTTTATTGCTCAACTTCCTTCCAATCCTCCCCTCTTCCACTTCCATTGCCATTGGCTCTATAAAGCCAAACCAACCCATGAGAGATGGCGATGTTCTTCTCTCTAGTACTAAAATCTTTGCACTTGGGTTTTTCAGCCCGGCCAATTCTCGTAACCGGTATGTTGGAGTTTGGTACAACAAAGTTCCAAGCCAAACCATTGTCTGGGTTGCAAACAGAGACAACCCCATAATTCCTGTCACTGATAATAATGCCTCTGGAGTTGGACTTCTAGCTGTTCATGGAAATGGAGGCCTGGTCATCTATGGGAAGGACCAAAATACCCCTCTTTGGTCTGCTAATGTTTCAGTCTCTTCGCCGAACAATTCCATGACTGCCAAGCTTTGGGATACAGGAAATCTTGTTTTGCTTGAGGAGGACAATGGTCTTAGCCAAAGGGTATTGTGGCAAGGCTTTGATCATCCCACAAATACGTTGCTTCCATTTATGAAACTTGGGCTGGACCGGCGGTCCAAGTTGAATTGGTTCCTCACATCTTGGAAATCTAAAGATGATCCGGGAACCGGTAACTATTCGTATCGGATCGACCCAAGTGGGTTTCCACAGGCCTTTTTATACAAAGGTCAAGCTCCGCGCTGGAGGGCCGGGCCGTGGACCGGAGAGGGATGGAGCGCTGTGCTCCAAACGACAAATGATTATTTCCTATTCAACGCTAGTTTTGTGAACAATCAAGATGAGGTATCCATTGTGTATGGTATCACGTATAAATCAATCTTCTCGAGAATAGTGCTTGATGAATCAGGAGCCATTGCATGGTCCGTGTGGCATGATGAAAGGCAACAATGGATCAAGTATTGGTTTGCCCCAGATGATTTGTGTGATGAATATGGGAAGTGTGGTGCCAATAGCAATTGTCACCCGTCCAATATGGGTAAGTTCGAGTGCACGTGCCTACCGGGATATGAACCCAAGTCGCCACGTGACTGGTATTTGAGGGATGGGTCGGGTGGGTGCGTGAGGAATAACGGAGTATCCATATGTGGAAATGGGGATGGGTTCATGAAGGTGGAACGTGTAAAGGTACCCGACTCGTCTAAGGCACTTGTGAGCATGAATTTGAGTTGGAAAGCATGCCCGCATGAGTGCTTGAGAAATTGTTCTTGCAAGGCATATGCAAAAGCAGATGAGAGATGGGGAGGGTTTGGATGCGTGACATGGCATGGGGACTTGATGGACACGAGAACATTTTCAAATGCTGGCCAGGATTTGTATGTACGAGTTGATGCAAATGTGTTAGGTAGTTGGTTCATCTCATTTTCCTTACAAGTCAATATCATTTTTCACTCGATTAGACTTTGATGGCATAGTTCGTTTATCCCTTCGTTCTTCTATTTTTATCTCATTATAATGCGCTATGACTATAGTATGTAGTTAGTCCTTTTATTGAAAAAAAATTCCACCATCTTACTAATCTCAAATTTTCCTGGATTTTATTTGTGTTGTTTTTTTTTACCCTTGAAGCTCAATATGCAAAGTCAAATGGTTCACTTAGCAAGAAGGGAAAACTGGCAATTTCTCTAGTTTCTGTTCTGGTGTTCCTTCTTCTTGTAGTTCCCATTTCTTATTGGTTGGTAAGGAGGAAAAGAAAAGGTAAATATCTGATACAAATTTATTTTCTTTTCACCATTCATTTGTCACCTAATTGTTCTGCACTGATATCACCCACAACAATGAATTCTCCTTTCAAGAGATGAATCAAAACTTTAGTCTGATCATAGAAATACAGGTTGTGCTGCTAATGAAACAAAGGCTGGATAGATTACCTGTTCTGCATTTGATGGCAGGTAAGCAAAGACAAAATAAGTATCCCCCTACAGTTACCACAAGGTCAACCTACTTTGAAGATTCTACTGCAGAACTTGATGAAAGTAGTATGCACTCAGACATACCATTCTTTGATCTAACAACCATAGCGGCGGCCACGGACAATTTCTCTCTTGCAAACAAGCTTGGAAAGGGGGGTTTTGGCTCAGTCTATAAGGTAGTTATCTTTGAATTATTTCTCAAATCAGAAATCAGATTTTTGTGAATATGCCTCGGTTTTTAGTTTTGCATGCACAAGAGCACTTTCAAGGGCACGAGAATGCAAATTTCATACGAAAAAGTGGATTATATTTTCAGGGTGTGCTTTGTAATGGAAAAGAAGTGGCAGTGAAAAGATTATCAAAACATTCTGGGCAAGGAATTGAGGAATTTAAGAATGAAATTGTGCTGATTGCAAAACTCCAACACAGAAACCTTGTCAGGATTTTAGGTTATTGCGTTCAAGATGAAGAGAAGATGCTAATCTATGAATACGTGCCAAACAAAAGCTTGGACTCTTTCATCTTCAGTATGTCTTCCTTTTGCTTTCATATCTAATTTTGTCACTTGAAAACTAATAAGGAAGCAAGAATTTAGTCCATTTTCTTAATTTTAACATCCAGATGACACAAAAAGAGCACTTCTAGATTGGACAGTACGCTTCAGGATCATCTATGGGATTGCTAGAGGGATCTTGTATCTTCATCAAGATTCAAGGTTAAGGATTATCCATAGAGATCTAAAGGCCAGTAATGTTCTACTGGATGCTTCTATGAACCCCAAAATTTCAGATTTTGGTATGGCTAGAATTTTTAGAGGAGACAAAAGTGAAGCGAATACAAATCGTGTGGTTGGAACATAGTAAGTTAAATTTTTCTCCAAATGTATAAGATATCACAATAGTTTATTTCTAGATTCACAAGACCACCAACTGATGAAATACTTGATAATGCATGTCACAAGAGCATACAATTCATAGGCTAATTTCAACATATTCTGTGGATCAGTGAATCAATGCTTTCGTAATCACTTTTCTTTCTGCTGCAGTGGTTATATGTCTCCAGAGTACGCAATGGAAGGACATTTTTCAGTGAAATCTGATGTATATAGTTTTGGAGTTATACTCCTAGAAATCGTTACTGGCAGAAAAAATTCTGGTTATTACCAGGACAAGTATCCCGGCACAAATTTGGTTGGACATGTAAGTTTACTGGCTTTGTGGAAAACGACGTAGTTTTTCCCCTACTTATTCATGCTAACTTTGATTATCTAAAATCGTTTTTAGGTTTGGAACTTGTGGAGAGAAGGTAAAGTCTTGGAAATCGTCGATCCATCTCTGGGTGAATTGTACCCTGTCAATGAAGTTGTGAGATGCATCCAAATTGCACTCTTATGTGTGCAAGAGTATGCCACTGACCGGCCGACCATGTCAGCAGTTGTTTTCATGTTAGGGAATTATGACGCAGCAGTTCCTTCACCAAAACAGCCTGCATTTTTGTTACAGAGAACTTGTGATGCTGGAGACCCATCAACCAGTACAGAAGGAGCTAAGTCTATGAATGATGTTACATGTACTAGTGTACAAGCTCGCTAAAAGGCCTAGGCCACAAAATATTGGATGTTAAACTACTGCAACTATAGCAGCCTGCGTCAAAAAATTTCACTTGAGGCTTTTCGGTTGCTGCATTCATGCACAAGAGAATATGTTTGCTTGGCGAACAAAAGCTTGGACCTTATCGTATTTGGTATACCTTTCAATTCACATGTAGCCGTTACCATAATTTGATAAACCATGCTTAATTTCCCAACTTTGCATAATCTCCCTTTTTTTTAATAAATAAAATGTGTGTGCATGTATAGTATAGAGGTTTATGCAAATTAGGGGCCTCCCAAATTGAAAGCCCTAGGCAGCCGTCTTGCCCGCGTGTGTCCATGGCCTCCCCCAATTAAATAGAAGTAAGTCAATTACAATATGAACCTTGATCTGCAGCGTTACATTTGGACTGAAAAATTCTTTTTTTGGATTAATTTTTTGTCTTTTTTGGATTGATGATGCTGATGGGTCAAATATTATTGCAAGGACTGAGATATGGCTAATTTCTAAATTAGGTTAAGTGGGGCCTAGCTTACTTTCGTCTTCAAGAAAATTCTCTCTTAGTCCTAATCCATAATATCAGAGCCCATCAATCTTGGGCCGCAGCCCAATTTCACCTTGTAAGAAAATTCTACGTGGTGACCTGTCTTAGCCGTAAGGATCAGGATAACACGTGTCCAAGTTTCTACTAGTTTGACGCCGAACACCGACCCAAGTCCAAGTGTCGCGGACTCGCGCCGGAGATGGTGCCGACTTGAAACAGAGTGACCACCTGTAAACAAGCCCCAAAAATCCTCATTCTACACACGCCACGTGTAAACAAGCTGTCAAATTCTCATTCATCCCATTCCGTAGGATCACATATGCATATTTGTTACATATTTTGTTTCATTTGGCACAATCTATACTCGTACAACACACTCTGAAAAATAATCTCTGAAATTTGCGATCAAACATGAGCCAGGAACAGCCACGGAGACGACCTGACCAGTCCTCAGGTCAGGAACCCCTCAAGTACGGCGACGTTTTCAATGTTTCAGGGGAGTTGGCATCCCGTCCCGTTGCACCCGGCGACGCTGCCACAGCCCAGGCCGCTGAAAACCTAGTTCTCGGAGAGACTCAGAGGGGCGGCCCGGCTGCAGTCATGAACTCGGCAGCCACTTACAACGAGCGCGCTGGGCTCGTTGGCCACAAAGATGCCACAGAAGTAGCCAGAGAAGAAGGAGTGTCGGTTACAGAAGGAATTAATCCCGATGGCAACCGCGTTGTCACTGAAAAAGTTGGTGGACAGGTACAAAATTTCATATATATAAAAAAATTATGTGTTCCTATGTATGTTGGTCTAGCTCAATTTGTCACATCAATTTATTCAAATTTTTTTATGTCTAGGTTGTGGCCCAATATGTGGAACCGCCTTTGCCGATGGGCTCGCCAGGAGGAGCGCTGGACCGTGATGCAATTACAATTGGTGAAGCTCTCGAGGCCACTGCTCTGTCAGCAGGCGACAAACCCATTGACAAAAGCGACGCCGCTGCAATACAAGCCGCCGAGATGAAAGCCACTGGGAGAACCGTAATAGCGCCCGGCGGTGTTGCCGCCATGGCTGAGTACGCAGCTTCTGTTAACCCGCGCGACGTCAACAAGACAAAAGTAGGCGATGTGCTAGAGGTACGGAATTTAAAAGATAAATTAATCATTATGTTTTAGGAGGATTTGTTAATTTAATTGTTTTGTGAAAATAATGAAGGATGCAACTCAGAAGCTGCCAGCTGACAAAGTTGTGACGAGGGAGGATGCAAAGGCGGTGATAGGGGCAGAGATAAGGAACAGTCCGACTATGAGCACCACTCGTGGAGGTGTGGCTGAATCGCTGGCTGCAGCCGCGAGGCTTAACCAGAACACTGGAAAATAAACCTACAAGTCTAGATCTATATCATGTATATGTATAGATATATATGTACGCACGCATGCATGGTTAATTTTGGGGTTGTAATATGTAGACTTATATTTTGCGTTTAAAGGAGTTGTCTACGCAATCATGTAACTCAAGTGTTTGGTTTAAAGTATAAACATGTTTCCATATGTAGTTTGGGTTCGCAAATGTTGTCGCTATAACCTCACATTACAATCTCTTTGTAGTTCAGGGGATAATAGTAATCAGATCAATTGAAAAATTATTATTGGGAGTTAAGATTGAACTAGTCAACACAACGTTTTAACAGAGATTCAATTGTAGAAACTCCTCGACAATTATGGTGAAAATCATGTTAATTGGGTTCAACAAGAAGGAATAGGCCCAACATAAACCTCAGGACAAAAGGGCTTACTCTACCCCCTTAATTAACCTGATAAATAAAAAGAAAAAAAAGAAGCAATACTTGGTAATGGACTGGGGTGTAGATCCAGTATAGATTTTTCCCCTCCTTTCAAGTGTATCTGATTTGATTCACAAAAGAAACAATCTTAAAGCAACTCAATATTATACTCCCCCGTCTCCTTAAAAAAAGAAAAAAAACAGATGTGTAGTTGCACTTCAGTGAAAGCACAAAATCCTATACAAAGGGAACATAAGTTTTACAAGATTTCTTGAAAATCAGAGTTAACATGTCTAAATTATGTATCTTATTTCCAGAAGACTGATCCGTACAGTTGGGTTGTGGCAGGAATCAATCAAGATGTGAATCTTTTAATATAGAGTAACCAAATAATTAATTTAGGAGAATCATAAGTACTTTTGATTTGGGGGAAGTTTCTTGCTATCTGATTCATACATATGGCTTGGTTGGCTGTCAGTTTATATATGTCTGCATTTCCCAGCAAAAGAACCAATGAAATTAACAGCTAGGAGGATCTAAGATCTCATATGCTGTAGATTGAAGAACCTCTCCCCTGACTCTGAGTTGCGTTGCATGGCTTGTTATCTTCTTGTGCTTCCCTCCCTCCTTACCCCACACGATCGACAAGTCAGTGGAAGGCTTCCTCTATAAATAATTGATGGGCTCGTGGCCATGATAGGCTTACTTGATTTATTTATTTATTCGATCTCTGGTTTCCTTGCAAGTCCATTAACAAATGATAACCCAATGACCAAAAGATGAGAAAAAACACCTGTTTTTTTTCAACCTTTCAAGTTTCAAGGAAACAGGGGTTGTGTTGTAGCAACTAGCTACCTACTCTCTCTCTCTCATCAAAATCTTGAAATCAGCTGTGCTTTGGTTGCAGTGGGCGATGCCGACGTGCACATTAACTCAATCATCCCAACACGAAACTCAAAAAATTTGACAGAAAGATATATGTGTGCATTTGATGGAAATGAAATATTATAATAAGAAAATGAACACTTGAGAGAGATTGATTAACCATCAATGTTGCCAAAAGTCTCCAAAGCTTTTTCAGTTTTTTCAGGTGATGTTGATCTTTCAATACACTGGTTTTGTTTTTCTCTCAGCCTATTTCTTTTTAGAAAAACTTTTGCGTTTTGTCTTCGTCATCATGCATGGATGTGAAAATGAATTTTATTAGTTAGCCATGGAGCTAGCTTAGCTCCTAGCTTCTTCTGCCAATGAAGAAGGAAATAAATAATTGTTGCTGGATTTGACATGTGGTGGATAGAGGTAGGGTGCTTTTTCTTGTTTCCAAAATGGAGTGGATGTGTATATGAATATGATGGGTAGGGTACCCAAAAAATGGTGGATTAATTGGGTTTTGGTTTGGGACACGTCACACGTTCCATGAATATGAATGAATTGAAGCAAAAAATGTTAGTTGGCTTGGCTCTGTGTCTGTGGCCAGGCCAAGGGGTCACCACCCCACCACTACCCCCATGTGCATGTTTTGTCCAATCTTGTGATTTGGTTGGAACCTACGTGTACCTTCGTACCCACCCATTTTCCCACTTTCAAAACCTCACGTTCACTAACTATTTTATTCACAAGTTTCAAGTTTGAGTATGAGCAAATTTACCTCATGAAAATTGGATGGATATTCAGTCCGGAATATACTTTTTTTTAAAATACAAGAGGAGAGGTTTCTCACACGCCCTACTAAGATTCTGTATATATGAGGATTCCAACATAATCAGATCACTCATCTACGAAGCTAATACCCTTTTTCAATGAACTGGTTCGGAATATACATATAATAAAAGCATATGTATAAAATTATTACATAATTGTGGACCAAATTCGTGAGAGATCCTAATTGGAATATCTATAAAGTGATACAATAATCTTAAACCATTTGATCCGTCACTATCTTCTTTAAATTTCAATGGTGACAGTCTAGATAATTGTCATTGCATACAGAAAAAGGAAAAGTAACAAAAATCTGTATGTGTATATATGTATGTTATATTGTACTGTTATCTTTGAGTTATCTTCAACTTGAAACAGATAATTTTTCCCATCCCATGATGTGAAAGCTCACCTGCGTTTATTTATGCACCTTCCTTCAATTTAATCAAAACTATGAGAAATTGTGTTACTGTAACACCGTTAGGTGACGTTATTATCATCAACATTAGCATAAGTAAATATTTACTAATACCTATCATAAATGATTTGCAAGTACAAGTGATGACTCAAATTTCTCAGAAACTACGAGTTTGCTCCTTCACCAACTCTATATATCTCTATATGTGACTAAACACACTGCTCACACAGACGATCTCTCTCTCTCTCTCTCTTCTTCCTTCTAATCTCCCACTCTTTCTAACACCAACAACAGAAATGCCAAACACAGTAGGAAGAAATCTAAATCTCTGCTTCACAAAGATCACGCGGCCACTCACTCTACACTCCCCAGACAGCGATCACAGCCGTCCATTACCCACCACGGCCGCCGACGCCGCTACCGCCACCACATCCACGTCATCAACCTCATTGATGATAAAAAACTTCAACTCCCTCTACGACGACCAGTACATGTTTGACTCCACCACCACCTCCAAATCCCTCAGCTCCTCCTTCGTCTCCTCCTCCGAAAACGAAACCGAAGCCCCCGCCGCCGACTTCGCCACCGCTTTCGCCTCCCGCCGCTTCTTCTTCTCCTCCCCAGGCCGCTCCAACTCCATCGTCGACCAATCCGCATCGCCACCGTCGTCCATTGCCGCCTCGTCAGAGTCCCCCGACCACAAGCTCGTCAACCACAGCGTGGCGGTCCCCACTTTTTCGCCGGACCCTTACCGGGACTTTCGGCGGTCCATGCAGGAGATGGTGGACGCGCGCGAGGGAATGAAAAACGAGGAGGAGGAGGAGGGCGGGAAGAAGAAATCAAACTGGGAATTCTTGCATGAGCTTCTGCTTTGCTATCTTGCGCTCAACCCTAAGAGCACCCACAAATTCATCATCGGCGCTTTTGCCGATCTTCTCGTCAGCCTCATGCCATCTCCCGGTGGGGGTGACCGCAGAGAATTACCCGAGTTTACAGCTGGCGTCTGTGAGATTTCACGGTGCGTCTGAAATGAAATGAAATAAATATAATATTGTTGGCTTGTATGATATTTTAATTATTAGCAGTAAATGTAATATTTGAATGGATCGGCGGTGATGGGATAGGAGAAGAACCCAAGAAGTCGGTAGTTTTATTTTTTGTTGTTGTTTTCAATCACATCAAACAACTCTAACTCAGTCTTTGTCTCCCTCATCTTCTTCTCTTCCATAGCTTGTCCTTGTCCAATATCAGCTTTATACGCGGAAATTTTGACAGTGCTTTTGTTTTTTTCCATCATTAGCATAGATTGCGTTGAGAAAAAATGGACTTTTGTGACGGCCCAATTAAATTACTAGCTAACCCTTCTTCAGCCCCAGCTGGCGGAGCCAGAAACTATCATCGCATTACATGGGGTTTTTGTTCATAATAAGTTTTTGGCATGTGTGTTTTGTTCAACTCATAAACCTAATTAGCCTGTTTTGGTTTGGTTAACTATTGCTATTAGGTGAAGTTGATAATTAATGGAGTTAGCTATTAGGTGAAGTTACTTAACTCAGACGAAAAAGCATATGCTAAGTGATTAAGATATACTACGTGGCTATATTACCGTAGTATTATATAATTTTTCATGCTAAAGGGCTTGACTGGTTCTCTTCTCACATTTTGAATCCAAAGACACCTCCATGTTCAAGTTCAACCACTCTCCTGACTTTCGGAAATAGATAGTGGTTAATTAGATGATTTTTGGAGTTAAATATTATAATAATCAAAAGAAAGTTTACTACCAAGTCAGGAAACAAGACAAATCCGTGCTTTTAACAAATTGTGTAGGTTTTGTTAAAAAGAGGAAAAATGTTAACATGGATATAAGCATGCTTAATTACTTTAATAAAAAGCATCCATACATACAAATATGTAAACGATTTGTCGATTGGTGGAAGTTTCCCAAGCACAGACAGAGAGAGAGAGAGAGAGAAGAAAATCGAAGTTTAGTCCCATCACCTAATATCACTGTTATGCTTTGACATGGACTTCACAGTTTCACTTTTCTGCAAGTTTAAGCAGCACGTGACTATTTTCTAATAAACCCCTTTACTTCCCAAAATTACAAAATATGTGGGAAAGGAAACCAATCTAATAGTCTTGTAGGAATTGACAATTGGTTCACGCAAACTAAAGTAGGTGCCTACTTCTTGAAAATCTTTCATATCTTTGTTTCATTGTCATTCTCTTCATCTCTCTTCTCATTTTACCCATTTAGAGGACTGGAAAGATAGAGAGATAGAACAATGAAACGGGCAAATCCTGTGCGCCCGCCGTTTTCATGATTAATTAGAAACTACTTGTTTAAATAAGAGTATTATAAAACTCCAAGTACGTATAAACGCAGTGTAATTGACAGTAAACGATGCTGATTTACGGGGAAATAAATTAAATTAAATGATGCACCTCATACAAATTATATGAATAAGGTAGGGTATTGTGTCTGCAGACTCAATGGTGGTGTGGGGGTCTGCTTGATAATTGGGAAAGTCTTTGCACTCGGACAAAATGCGCAGAAGGGATCAGGGAATCTTGTTTTTGTCTCTCTTTTATTTATTTATTTATTTATTTTATCTCAATGCTTCTGCCTTTCTGCGCATATATAATTTGTTTGTGGTTCAACTTGAAGCTAAGGACAGATTGGAAACCCATCGCCCCAATTATACGTTGTACATGTAAACATGTGCTCGTATGGTTTTTGCACAGTTGAACTCTCACCACCACCCCAATTATCGAAAATAATGCAGCTAGCTGCATGCATCATCCATGGAACCTTCATTCACATGTTAGTACTTTGAGTGAGCTGTGCATGGTCAGTTATCCAAATGCACGCGTATGTTATTTTTTATTGTTGATGGTCAGTTATTACTGTGCGAATGCTATAGTAAATAGGAAGGAAATCAACGAGGGGTAATAGAAAATACATAGTGTATGCGCATTAATTACGTTCGAACGTCCACATAAGAGAAAATCTATATATATATATTTATGATGGGTTAATCACCAATCCAATCCACACGAGGATAATTTCTAACCGTTGATGTATGTGAAACTCATGCCTCATAATAATTTTAACAGTGAGTTAGTATATGGGCTATTGAAGCCAAGCCGTTACTAGGCCCACCATTGTCGGTTCTCGGCTCGATGTGGCATCAGGGTAGACCAACGTTTAAACCCAGAATGGCCCAGAAGCTTTACAATGTAGGGCCCAGCATAGACCAAGCCCAGGGTAGGACAAACCCACTTGTTTACACGGAAGCTACAAAACCTCATATCCAGCCAAAAATTTTTAGTCTTGCAAATTAGAAATTTTTTGTCGAAAAATATGAACTAGACAGTACGGTAGGAAGGATTTCAGACATTAAAGACACCAGGTAAAATTGCAAGGCAGATAGTAGATGCGCCTAAGATTACTCCAATTTCATTTGGATACTTTGGTTGCACTAGCAAAAAATTAGGTGACACCAAAACAAAGGGCTTCAGAATTCTGGAACACATTCACTTTGGAAATTACAATTAAAGAAACTATGCCTTGGTTAAAATAACAAATACGTCCCAGAAATAATCCAAAACAGGTATTTTCAGAATTCAAACACATTCTCAGATGTACTAAAGAAACAAAATTTCTCAAGCTAAAATGAAAACATCAGCAAGGAGCTTAAGAAATAGAAATTGCAAAAGCAGACTATCGCTTCTTGGAGACACCAACAGTCTTTCCCCTGCGTCCAGTAGTCTTGGTGTGCTGCCCACGTACCCGGAGACCCCAGTAGTGACGGAGACCACGGTGGTTCCTGTCAGAGCACACACAATTTATCAACTCAATACCAAATGAAATCTGTTAAAGCAAGCCAACAACATTACAAGATACAAGAAACCCAATCAAATTCATTTGCAAATTCCATGTTCAGAAGTCCTTATCAAATGCAGGACACAAATGATACATATTTCACCCATTAAGCTTAATTGATGGTCAACACAAACCTGATCTTCTTCAGGCGTTCGAGGTCATCCCTCAGCTTCATGTCCAATGCATTGGAAACAACTTGAGAATACCTCCCATCCTTGTAATCCTTCTTCCTGTTCAAAAACCAGTCTGGAATTTTGAACTGGCGAGGATTCGCCACAATGGTCATGAGGTTATCAAGCTCCGCGGCAGAGAGTTCTCCAGCTCTATCATCCGCATAAAACCCACAATATACAAGTCAAATGAAGCTGAATGTAGCAATATTAAAAATAAACTAGCTTCTTTGTATGCACTACATTTGCAAGCAGATGGCACAACCTATAGTGTGCATTCTAAAGCCATAATTTTACGAGAAGAAAATCAGCAATCATATTGGGATCTAAAGCACCCAAATATAAATATGGAAATAGGATCCAAGATTCTCTATCAGAAGCATACGCATTTTCTTATCATAAATAGTTGACTTCAACTCATATCACTAAGTAGAAGACCAATATTTTCAATCAAAATAAAGTAGTTCTTCAATTTAGGATGAGCAAAGCTAAGCTATTTCTATATCCCATACAAAATCGGATAAAATGATGGAGGGGCTGAAGAGAAAGGTACCTCTTGTTCATGTCGACATCGGCCTTCTTGCAGACAATGTTGGCGAAACGACGACCGATACCTTTGATGGAGGTTAGGGCAAACATGATCTTCTTCTTGCCGTCAACATTTGTGTTGAGCACACGCAGAATGTGCTGAAATTCTTCGTTCGCTACGAGAGACTACACATTCCAAATCCCAGCCACAGAAAATTAAAATATTAGTCAACATTTAAGATATTAGGATCCAGAGACAGATATAGAGAGAGAGGGAGAGAAAGATAACCATGGCTAGGGGTTTAGATCTTGAAGCTTTTTGTGCAGCTCTTCGCCTGTGTGAGCGTGAAGACAGAAGCCTAGCAGCGTTGCGAACCCTAATTTTAGGCGCCGGGTACTTGATGAATGATTTATATACTCCAAACAAAAATGGGTACCTATCTTTTGGGCTTAGGGCCCAGCTCAATATAAATATTAGCCCATGACAAATTCGTTTTTTTGCTTTTCTTTCCAAGCAAAATTAATCACATGTTTTTTTCTTCAGTGTTTTTTAATAATAATTTTTTTATATATTAAAGTTTTGCAACTACAGCAGATAGAGAAGAAAAAGAGAACAGAAGAGAGTGGGAAAAAATGCATAGAATAGTTTGCACTATAAAACTAAAATTAACTTTAAATGGTTTTCTTTCGAGTCTTTATTTTTTATTATACAAGCGGTATTAGGAGAGGGGGGTTTTCATCTTTAATCTATGTATTCACCTTCCTTTCTTCTCTCCTCAATTTTCTCAAGTCCTATCCCCCTCTCTTTAATTTCTCAAAAAGAAAACAAAAACATAATCAAACATGAACTCGGGACAAGTTTCGATCATGTTACCAGCTTAATGCTATCATACCACCCCAACTGTGATGAATCGAAGAGAAGGAAAAAGAAAGCATAGCAAAGGATCAATGAGCACCAAAATGAAACGCTGTTTTCATGGTTAAGCAATGGATCTTTCATATACAACGAGCTCCAGAGGGGCAAAAAATATACAACCCTCCAAGGCAGCATCTAAATCTTCCATTGTGCTAAGCTATAAAATGCTACAGCTTGGTGATCTTCCTAACTGTACTTGAAAGAAGAAAAGAAAAAAAATTTACATATTTACTCCCAACAATGGAACAAGCTTGGCTCCTCGACCAGCTGCTTCAAGCTCTACCGCCTAACTAAAAATCATGGAACCAAAAACTGTATTTGCTTTCTATAAGATGAGAAAATCGGTTTATCAACCCTTGCCAAAATACTACTACAAGTAGTACTCTTCTGTCGTAGATTGCTACCAAAAGCCTCCTGCTTACACTACTTACTGTCAATGTACATCAAAATAAGATCAACTAGCCGGGTTTGATACAATTATCACCTCAGAAGTACCAGCTGAGTTACCTCCACTAGATCCACAGTGAAGAGCCACCACAGAAGTATTGCTTGGGTCACACTGTGCATCACTTGTATTATCAACCCGAGAATCAAACTCAGATGGCTTTATGGATGGAGACCCGTTGGGAGTTAAATCCACATCAGTGACATCAGGGGGCTTGGTAATTCCATTACTTTGAAGATTTGCCCCAGCACTTGTATTATCAACCTGAGAATCAAATGCAGATTGCTTTAAGGATTTGGTGTCCGTAAGAGACCCATTGGGAGTTAAATCCACATCAGTGACATCAGGGTACTCGGTAATTCCATTACTTTGAAGATTTGCCCCAGCAATTACATTATCAACCCGAGAATCAAACTCAGATTGCTTTAAGGATTTTGTGTCCGTCGGAGACCTGTTGGGAATTAAATCTACATCAGTGACATCAGGGGACTTGGTAATTCCATTACTGTGAATATTTGCCCCAGCACTTGTATTATCGACCCGAGAATCAAACTCAGATTGCTTTAAGGATTTTGTGTCCGTTGGAGACCCGTTGGGAGTTAAATCCACATCCATGACATCAAGGGGCTTGGTAATTCCATTACTTTGAAAATTTGCCACAGCACTTGTATTATCAACCCGAGAATCAAACTCAGATTGCTTTAAGGATTTTGCATCCGTCGGAGACCCATTGGGAGTTAAATCCACATCAATGACATCAGGGGACTTGGTAATTCCATTACTTTGAAGAGTTGCCCCACATGAATGATGAGAATTTAACGTACAATGACCTTCAAATTCATCTGCTTTTTGGTGTGCCAATATGGAAGTCAGGTGACATGCATCACAGGAGACCTTCCTAGTTTCCTCAACTGTCACTGTAGGTGTATGCTCAGTAGCAGGATGGTTATATTCCGCTTCACAAGTCTCAAACATCTTTCCATTCGAACAAAAAGTAGATCCTGCGACCTGTAAATGTTGAGAACCATGATGTTTAAGGTCCCTGGCATCCTGAGATGCCTGCAGTTCAGTGGCATTACTTTCAGTAGAGCGGCAAATAGATCCTTCATCACGAGAACTGAGGTTTTTAAAAGTGACATCTTCTATCCTCAACTCACAGTCGATATTTTCAGTGACCTCCCCGGAAGCAGAAAGGATCTTTATACCAGCGTCACGGGCTTCAGAATCAACGTGATGTAATGTGCAAGATTTGCTTTCCATTTCAGGCGTGATATTATGGTTCTGTTGGGTGTCCACTTCCACTGCCCTTACATCAGGAACTGAAGCAGAACTCTGGAATTCATTTCCACAGGGTGCAGTTTCTTCACTGCCAGACCCAGCCAAAAGCTTCTCATTAGTATAACATAACACCTCCTGCCCAGTTTGCTGATGCTCAAGTTCAGTGGACCCCAAACCTACAAGAGAAAATACAATCTCAATCATATAACAACCGGATACATTGACACAAATGATGGTTTCTGTAGATGATATAACAAGATACTCATCTATGCTGATTTCCTAAATACCTTCCAGAGGAATCATACTTGCTTCTGATAACTGCTTCAACAATGGTTTCTGTAAAATATCTACACCAGGGAAAACCAATATTTTCATGTTCTTCATCTTCTGCTTGCCTGATTCTTCAAGGGGCTTAAAACCAAAAACAGAAGTCCATGTTCCCCTAAGTTCCGAGATTGCAGGTATGACCAATTTTTCAACGTTCAAAGAGCAGAGAGCCTAATCATGGTTCAGAAAATGGCACAAAATGAAATAGAAAGCTAAGGATCAGTACACTATAAGGACACAAAAAGACTCTTCGCAATATTATGAAAATTCATGATTTACCTTAAACACTAAAAAAAATGTATCTCTAAGATAACAGAGTTTGAAATTTAATCAGACATAAAACAGACATTTAGACTTCTAAATCATGACAAGTTCAGAAAGGGGGAAAACAAGAAAGATACTTTTCAGATAAACACAAAGTCTTAGCTTACCTAGAGATGGTAATTACAATCTCATTACAAACTAGAATGGATTCCAGAATCAGCAGATGAAAACTTATGAACATGTTTCCATTAACTCCAAAAATGAGATAAAAAATGAAATTCAGCTTGTGAGCACACATGTAAGGCAGAGACATTCGAATTCAACATACAGATTCAATTGCAGTCAGAAGCCGACGGCACATTCCTTGACGCCTATACATATAGCGGGTCCCAATAAATGGCATCTCTGCTAAATAGTTCCCATGGATCCTGATCAACCAAGCAGTAACATAGTGTCAAAATATAATTGCGGCACACAAACTCACAAAAGTCATTCTACCCCTTGCTTAGGATTACAGCAAGGTATAACTCAATCCAAGAGAGGATATACAAGTAATTAATAAAGAAATAATTAGGGGAGTGGGTTTAAAAGAATTATCACGATTGTTTGTATGTTTTAAAGAGAGATATAAAAAAATGAATTAAATACATCTGTGAGACTTAATTTGCAGTCCGTGATAAAACTATACGTCTGAATGACATGCCCATAAAAACTTAGAAATTCTGCATGCATTAACTGTTGCAAGCAACATATTCATGAAAGTATATGTAGGCAGGTACATACCGGATGGATGCTGCTGATATGATCTCATCACCTCTCTCTAGAATTGCAGTGACGAATCCACCATAATTCAGTCTGCTAAAATTTGACCTGATGATTGAAAATTATATAATCATTAAAAGAACTATATTTTTCTACATGAGTTTAAAAATATTAGAGAGATAATTTGCAATATATGGAATGAAGCTTCTTTCAAACTTCTCCGAATGCAAAATATACACAAGTAGAAGATAAACATACAACTTAAATCATTTAGACCTCTCTACATAAAATTAGAAAAACGTGATAAAAAATTAAACAGCACTTGACTTTCATATGGCCAACTTCCAAAATTGTCCTTGCATGGCATGGCAAATTCATCACCAACAAAAATTTCATTTTTGCAACAGCTGTTTGTAGAAACAAGAAAAGAACAGCAAAATAGCAAAACATAAAGCTATAAACACAAGGGTAATGAAAAGATAGGATAGGAACCTCCCCACCACTAGGGAATATGTAACACGCAAATGATAATTCAGATGTTTTTTTCCCTCATTTGAAACACTTGAAGTGGTTTGTCATTTTATTTCGGCAATGGCCATCCTCATTAACAAATAATACTAGAAATACAAACATCAATACAAGAAAATTTTCAAATTGGAAAAATGTAACATGTTTTCAATGGATATTGACATTCAATCACATGGAGAGAATTGGAAGATCGAACACTGTTTTCAAGTAATCACATGTTTTCAATAGACATTGACATTGAATCTGCATTCTGCAGATCCGCACAAATATTATCAAATGCTATACAAGGGCAACAGTCTAATTACTTTGCAACAGATATTGACATTCAATCACATGGGCGTAGTATTTAAGGACCAGTTAAGAACAAGTCATCCTTCACTTTTCCTAGGTACATGATCCCAACAGCAACCACCTTGAACTTGAAGAATTTATATATTATAAACACAAATCATACTTTTTAATGAGAAATTGAACACATACTTGTTCCAGGACAATGCGCAATAGTCTAAACCATTAAAAAAAGGTTTCACGCCCATATATACACACGCACACAAAATTGTGAATTAAAGGTATGCTTACCCACGATTATACAGAATATTATGAATCAGATTGACTCCACTTCTGTGGTCAACCATAGGCAAAAAACACTCATCCATTATTAAAAATGCGACAGCCAGCTTGGAATTGCATTCAATCAGCTTTGAATCACAACTGTCCTGCTGTGGTGTATCGCAAATAGAAACATCTGAGCCGATATCAGATCGGCGAATAA